AAAGGATCCTGTCTGCTCATTCTTTTGCTGAATGGAGTATAATAATATCGAAATTTGTTGGAGAAACAATTATCTCGAAATTAATTATCTTGACGGGATCAATCCGTTCAGTGGAGTGTTTTATCGTATCTGAATAATACCTTGTTATACGTATCGCTCTGTTGATGAGAAAGTTCTTCTATTTGCTTCATGCATAGTATAATTTGATCCACCAGAATCTGATTTTGTTTTACAATTTTCTTTTTACGTGAACCTTTGCCTAGATATGCAGCCGGATCATGTTAGACGATTTGAATACGAGGAGTTGGTTGGATTTACCGACAACTTCAGTGAGAGCAATTACATCGGTCGTTTCCAATTCGGCAAAATTTATCGTGCGGTGCTTGGGAAAACCTGTCCAACTAAATTGTTGGTGAAGATATGGGAAGTTCCAGAAATATACAGTTTCAAGCCCGTGGATAATAAAATTCGACTAATGGTATGTTTGCGATTTCGGTATTGTTTCAACCTTTAAATTTTTTGTTATCTCTTACGACTTTTTTCACATGTTTCGCATGTGCTTGTGCAGGAGGAAGTCATTTTACTTCGCCATGAAGTTGTGATCAAGCATCCGTGCATGGTAAAGATGTATGGATACTGCTTCGACGATGAACATCTTGGTGCTGTTTATTTACTGAATCCATTTGACTCGATTTTTAACCTCATTTCTAAAGGTATTCGATTTTCTTTTTTTTTTATCCCTTTTCGAGATTTCTTATATACTGCTTCTCTCGTATGAGATGTTGTTAAGTTTTGAAAGTTGGCAGTTCATATACAACGATGATTATTATTATATTCAGATTTTACCTAACTTGTGCTAAATAACTGAAAAGTGTGTTCGACTCATAGATAGTTACACATGGCTGCAAAGGATCAAAGCGGTATTTGGATTGGCTTCCGTTCTCAAATTTCTACATGCTAAATACCCTACTTCATATTTCACCCCTTTCGTAGTTCAGAATCTTGATCCTGCTCATATAGTGATTGAAGAGGTGCGTTTTGATGCTTTTTTAAGTACGCACGTTGGTTTTCGTACTAGTATGAAGAAATCGGTTGATTAGTAGTTGACTAATTATGCAGGACTATAATCCAAGGCTATGCGACTTCGGGCTGATGTGTGGTGGAATTCTCCCCAATAGAAGATCGTATTCCGGCCCATTGGGTTGCTATGGCTACATCGATGTTAGTGCATCCAGTCAAGGTATGTATATTCTCCACCATCTATGCACTATTCATTTAACAACTAATTTATAATCTTACCCATATTATCTATCACCCCATCAATTGTTTGAAACTTGTTGAACGTTTATCGAGCTATCTTATTGCAATGAAACGTAAACATTGCATCCCTTTTTGTGGGAAAAGTTTGCACACTTAAAAAAATTGTGAGTCCCCTAGTCCTATTTATGAATCTAAAAGGATTATTTATTGGGTTTTGTAACAGATGATTGCTCGAACAAGAAAGACGTGTTTGCATTTGGGGTGATACTTCTAAGTTTGATATCGAAGAGAGTTTACACCGAAGAAGACAGACAATCTGGTTTACCAACTGTTTACGAATGGGCTTTAGGACAATGCCAAGCGTTTGAATCGTACAGTGAAATGAGAGATGCAAAGTTTTCGCTTGTCCATAAAAGTATGGCGTCTGAAAGTGAATTTTGTGGTGAAGATGGGCACAAGATTACTATGATTGCGTTAGAATGTGTTAATGGAGTCCAATCTGAACGGCCTGCAATGAAGCAAGTTTTTAGAGCTTTACGGAAACTCGAAGTCGTTAAGGACAATGCTGAATTCATTGGAGCTAACAACAAAATGCTGCTTCGGCCATGGGAAATTACTAAAAAGAGCTGCTGATTTATTATTTATGGCATTGAAATATGATATTAGAATGTGATGTATGCACTAGGGAATGATGTTAGAATATGATGTTATTTATTAAAAAAATGGTGTGCTTCACTTTGTCATTTTGCTTGAGATAGACTTTACCCACTCCAATTATGAGAATGAGATGAAGCGTTGGATAGAGGATAATTACATTTTTCGTCCCTATACTTGGCACATAAAACAATTTTAGTCCTCCTACGGCGAATCTCGCCATGGGTTTAAGCTCAAACTTCCCACTTTTTTACATTTTTGGTTTCACCGTCAACTCTCGCAGTTAACTTAAGTGTAATTGTCATGTGCAATGAACGTGATGTCCATGTGGCAGCCAAAATGGAGCCAAAACCCCAAAACAAATTTCCTCTTCTTTCCCCTAAACCCTAGGAAACTCAAATTCTTCTTTGAATCCCCAAAATTCGCACCAATTTTTGTGAACCCTAGTTTGTAATACCTTAAATCCATAAACCCATAAGAAATCCAAAGTATTGAGTTGCCAAATTTGTTTGAGCATCTCCAAGAGATGTACTGTATGCTAAATTTTAGCATATATTACAACTTTTATAAAAAAAAATGAGCTCCAACAGCTATTTTAAAAATTAGCACACTAGTGAAATAATGGATTTGACTTTCTAAATTTGACAAGCCAAGCTTGTCTGCTAAAATTTACTTTTTGCCCTATAAAGTACAAAAACATGGAAAATTTAATCCACATCAACTTCCCGACCAAAAGTTTTCTTCTTATGTATAGT